TCGAGGTAATACTAAGGAAACTGATTTCCAAGTGATGCTCAACTCAAACTCCTACACCTACCCAATCCTTCGAGTGAAGCCATTGGAAATCTCATATCACTTCAGTCAATTTCTTCAGTGACAGAGACGAAGATCTTCTGGCCTCCGAGGAATTTGTTCTGACTGAGGAGTTAGGAATTCGCCAGTGTGGATTGCCTACACAGTGAGGAACATGATAGCCCCGAGGAATTTGAACCTCAAATATCCGACCGTTGCTGTGTTACGCGCCAGCTGTCCCAAAATATCTACCCACCTAACGATCATATCATTGAAGGGCATTTATGTCTTATCATGTAGGGCTGCTCCCTACGCTATAAATAGGCACCCCCTAGAACCACTAGCTTGTTAGCTGCTCCAAGAGAAACTGACACTTGTCATTGAGAGCATCTCATCCTCCGAGGACTTTGAGAGAAAATCATCAAGTGAGGAAAAGCCCAAAACCCAAACCCAAACACCTACAAACCCAAAGTGATTGAGAATCACTGAAGAGATTGTTCCTGTGTGCAACTGACGCTTGTTACCTTTGAGGACTGTGCATCCTCCAGACGGTTAGGCTCATGGTTTGAGCATCCAAGAGGAATTGTGGATCGCAGAGTGACCAAGTCTGTGAAGGTTTGGGAGTCACCTGAAGACTTACCACGAGTGATTGGGCGAGGTATGTGTGACTTTAGCTCAAGGAGAATACGGTAAGGACTGTGTGTCCGGGACTGTGTGTCCTCGAGTTTAAATACTCAACCGCTCCAACCAGACGTACAACTATCACAACAGTTGGAACTGGTCTACCAAATCATTGACTTCACCAAGCCAACTGGTTCTATTTCCTCAACCCTTTCATTTGCTCATTCATGTGTTGATGAACCTGACCATTACTGTTTGAAGACTTTGACTGAAGACTTTCTCTAATTCCTCAATCCTATTTCTTCAGTCTCACTGTCTTCATCCTGCTTATCCTATTTTCACACTATCTGTACTCTGTGCTTGTTTTCATTTCATCATGATGACTATGTTGTTGCTCTGCTATGCTGATACCTGAGTACTTATTCCGCTGCTAGTGTGTCGTTGCTTAGGAATTTCTTCACCTAGAAATTCCTCAGTGGCGAATTTGTAAAAATCGCCTATTCACCCCCCTCTAGTCGATATAACGCACTTTCGGAGGTGCACACTTGAACCCAATGACCCGCAAAATATTTACTTATGTTAATTTCTTTCAGCATTTATGTTCGGCAAGCTAATTACAAGACAAGGGGAGAGTGATTATTTTGGATAGGCTGTACATATCGGTCGATATGCTGAATGTTAGGTTGTCTACAGGGCTTCCAGTCTCTGCCAGGCAATGATCTCTTCCTGTTCCGGCATTTCTTGTTCCTCCTTTGTTCCACTATTTCCTCATCTATGATGTAATATGATTCTTTAGAATCGGAGCTGGACTCCACGATCTTGACACGCTTCTTCTTTTTGTCTTCTTCGTCGGCTTAGCATGCTCACTATCAGAACTTGGGTCGTCTCTTCTGTCCTTCGACTTCCCCTTTCTTTCAGTAGGCTAGGCTTGCTTTCTGACATATAATTTCTTCTTCCTTTAGCCTTTCTATCCCTGTAAAACCATTCATCCCTCAAACTTGAAGCATGTCTCCTTGATTTCATCTTCCTCTTTCTATCAATATCCCCACTCTCAGAACTAGATTCAGATTCACTGCTTTGTAGCTCCTTCTTTGATTGTGATTTTGTTTTTGTTTTCCTTTTGCCTTTACCGTCTTTGATTTCTGACATGTTGTCATGCTTCCTGCGATGAGACTTGCTTCTTTTATCAAGCTTGTAGCAATCTGGGTTGGACTTGGACCGACCTGTTAGTCCCTATGGACTACTAGAAACATACTATCGAACATGTTTTCCTTGCTAAGCCTGCTGATTGCTTATTTAAATCATGTATATTTTTGCAGCAGTGGAGATCATTGACTAAACCGGAGGACCAGGATGTTCTTGATCTTCTGATAACTAAAATGCGGGCCTCGGCGTCTTGATTCTCCAGATAGGAGCATGTTGCGTAGCTGCTTTTGCGTCCCCTTCGACTAGTTGTTGGCTATGTCGTCGTCCTTCTATCCAGCCTGCGTGTCGTGTGCTGGTCTGGGTGCAATGTATCTCTCTATCTAAAACTTTGGGTTAGCCCACGTATGGGGCAGCGTTATGTTTGTTGGTCTGGTTGTTTGGAACATTGTCTGGTGGCTTTATTTATAAAGTTGAGCGCATTGCTTTTTTCTCTAAAAAAAGCTTGTAATGAGCTTCCTCACTTTTAGACAGGTCCTCATCATATTTAATGTGTTTTCTTCTTGTTTTTAGAGCTTCCTTTCTACCATCCCTCTTGCTCTGCTTTCTCATATCATGCATTGGTTCTTCAAACTCTGTTTTCTCCGATTCAATGTCAGGTATATCCATTTTACCTCCTTTTTGTAAATCTAGGTGATGTATGTGCGCAGAGCTTATTTCCAGATAGATTTTCTTCCATATTTGCCAGAGTTCAGTGAACCTACGGTGAAATTAGTATATTCAAATAATCTGCCAATCAAACCATGAGTGAAAAAATGATATCCGTCCCCAAAGTTCTTAAATGACCAAAAAACACAAAATTTCCTGTAACTCGTACAAAATGTAGAAAAAAAACCAAATGAAAGTGCCCCTCCGACAGAGATAATAGCAATTCTTACTAGACGACCGCTACACAAGAACATGTTGCACTCGAAGCAAGATCTGTTATATGCTCACGATACTCCGGGAGTTTTCTAAATGTTGACAATTGGGGAATTACAACGACCATGGACCATGAGAATTACACTGAATGATGGGACCCATGGAGTATTTATTTGGGATTCGAGTTCCGGCAAAATATACTAAAGGGCTTTGACTTTGTTACCTCCGGCCCTCAGATCCAGACTAGGAACCTGCGACGCTCAAGCTTGGAGGTCCACTCCACTCCAGCCCCTCGCGGCGGCGCGGTGCGGATCAGCCCGCCCAACCCAGCAGTTCCTGAAACAATACAGAGAGGTAGGGAGGTGTAAGATGCAATAATGCTCCATCTACGAAACTCACTACGAAAGGTTACGTAAATTTCCTTAACTAAATCTCTCCCCCCTGATTTTCAGGGGGTGGGACCCTTCACCCCCTAATCCTCCAATCCTAACTGTCCACGATTTGATTTACGTAAAACCCGTAGCTAACCTTACGTAAGTCTAGACGGGACCTCCCTGCATCGTCTCCTCCGAGGCGACTCGAGGGTAACCCTAGCCGCCACCGCCGCGCCCCTCCCCCCTCCTTCCTCTCCGCCGCCGCCTAAGGTGTGCTCCGACGCGCGCGCTCGACACTGATGAAGGTGGCGGCGGGGATTCGGCGGCCGCATGTCTCGTGGAGCGCCTTGGCATCCGGGGCGGCGGCCCCGGCGGATGTGCGTGGGGTGGCGCTGGCGGCGGGTCGCCCTGCTAGTGCTGGCTAGGCGCTCCCTCGGTCATGCGGGTGATGAGGCGACGACGGTCCATGGGTGCTGGTGTGCATCCCTTCCCACAGGTATGCCTCCGCCAGATGAAGCCCACCCCCTCCGCCCCGATCTGCTCATTCCGTCGTCGGATCTGGGTCCTGGTGGCTTAGGCTGCTGCTCCCGGTCGCTGGCTGCGCGGATCTCGTTTGGCGGGGTTGGATCCGGGGGAAACCCCAGGCCGGCGCGGCGGTCACACCAAAGGCGACGCCTTGGGCGTCGTTCCCCTCCTTGGAGGCTGTGGTGTGGATCCTCCCCCTCCTTCCGTCCCCTGCTAGGTGAAAGCCTAGGTCCCCTGCTTCGGGCGGCGACGACACGTCCGTGTCGTGTCCCTTCTTGGAGGCACCGCCCAGGGATTGCAGGGGCGGTGAGAGAGTTTGGTTGTGGATGTGATGGTGGCGGGAGACAACTTGGTTTGGGTTCTTCACTGTTTCTTCTTAGGCTGTTGGCTGGAGGGTCCCTGACGAGGTCGCCGGAGGGTCGACGCCCATGAGCCTGGGCGAGAGGGGATCGGGTTCCCCTCTACGGCACCAACGTTATACCATTTGGTAGGAGCCCTGCGCTCCGGCGAATCCAGCTCTGGCCTTTGATATGCTAATCGTTGTTTCCCTTGTTTCTGCAACTATGGCCAGCAGCTCTCGCCCTTTGGTGTGGCTGCACCGCCGCCGCCGACGGTGCTCGTGAGTAGTGTGTCCTGGGCTTGCGGTACTACTCTAGTGTCTTCTCCCTGCAGCTTGGATGCCATCCATTTGGGTTCTAGGGTGAACCGAGCTGCCGACCGCCGGTGCGGCATCCTTCGAGCCAGGATGAAGGGGTAGGGCCCCTTTGCAGAGGCAGTAACAAATGGTGGACTGGTCCATGTCTGTCTTCGACGGTGGCTGTGATCACGGAGTTTTCGCGGTGGTGCATTCCTCCCAAGACCCTAGTTTAGTTCTGCTGGTGTAGGTCGTCCTGTAGGGTGTTTGGCAGCAGCGTGGTGATGCTTTGGCTCCCTTCTGCTGCTGCTTTTGAGTTGTCTTGCTCGAGCTCCTTGTGCATGTCGCTTTGTTTTCCTTCGCGTTTCGTTGTAAGCGGTTGTTCTTGTAATCCTGATCGGTTGATGGTTTTGTTAATTTAAAGTCGGGCTCTTCTTGAGCCTTCGTTCTAATAAAACCTTACGTAGGTCTAGCATTGCCATGTAAGATGGATACATATACACACAACAAAAAATCATTCTGCCACTGTTGATACATTGACTACGGCCTCACTAATCTTCAATTAAATAAAACATGTCAAATCACCCCGTAACCTCCCTCTACACCTGTAGGTGTACCAAAAACTTTGGCCCCCCTGCCCAAGGAACAAAACAAAAGGCCACGGCGGTACAACCACCCTCCTCCTCTCAACTTGGAGCACTGAGCGAGATTTCGATTCGGGTGTGGGCAACCAAGCTTAAGCTAGGATGGGCGATGTCCGGATCATGTCCAGGCGCATGGTCCGCCCGAAATCAAGCACCTTCCGGCCGCCGGAGCGTCAGCCGGAGACCATCCACCTGACGCCGTGGGATCTCCGGATGTTGATCGTGGACTACAACCAGAAGGGCGTCCTCCTGCCCAAGCCCCCCGCAGCCGCCGCCCAAGGAGTCGTGGACCGCCTCGCCTCGTCCTTGGCGCGCGCCCTGGGCCGCTTCTTCCCCCTCGCCGGCCGCCTCGCTGTCAACGACCACAGGGGCAGCGCCGGCCAAACCATCTCGCTCCGCTGCAGCAACGAAGGCGCCGAGTTCGTCCACGCCGTGGCGCCTGGTGTCACCGTCGCGGACGTCACCGCCCCGCTATGCGTCCCGAGGGTGGTCTGGTCCTTCTTCCCGCTCAACGGGGTGGTTGGCGCGGACGCCGCCGCGGGCTCCCGCCCGGTCCTGGCAGCGCAGGTCACCGAGCTCGACGACGGCGTCTTTGTTGCCATGTCGGTCAACCACGGGGTGGCCGACGGGACAACCTTCTGGCACTTGTTCAACACTTGGTCGGAGATCAGCCGGCGTAGTGTCAACGGCGACCGCGAATGCGAGATCTCCTCGCCGTTGCCGGTTTTCGACAGGTGCGTCGTCCCCATCACTGTACCATTTGGCAAGCTGGAGGACATCGTGGGGCAGCGTCGGCGTGGTTATGGCCAGCGGCCACCGGTGCAGGAATGCTTCGTGCGTTTCTCCGGGGAGAGCGTGAGGAATCTCGTGTCAAAGGCGAACGCGGAGATGTCCGGCTCCGGCTCCGGCACCACCATCTCCTCGCTGCAGGCCGTGCTCGCGCACCTGTGGCGCGCGGTGTGCCGCGCCTGGAGGCTGGCGCCTGAGGAGGAGACGCGGTACGTCCTCCAGGTCGGATGCCGGGGCCGCGTGGACGGCGTCCCGGCGACCTACTCTGGCAATGCGGCAGCGCTCGCCGCGTCCGATTCAACCGCCGGCGAGATCCTGGAGAAAGGGCTGGGCCGGGCGGCGTGGCTGCTGAACCGGGCCGTGGCGTCGTTCGACGGGGCGCGTGAGAGGGCGGAACTCGAGAAGTGGGCCCGGGAGCCAAGCTTCGCGATGCCGCCGGAGTTCGTGCTGGGCGCCGGCGCTCGCCGGCTGCTGCTCACGGGGAGCTCGCCGCGGTTCGACGTGTTCGGCAACGACTTCGGGTGGGGCGCGCCGGTGGCGGTGCGGAGCGGCGCGGGGAACAAGATGGGAGGGAAGGTGACGGTGTACGAGGGCGGGCGCGGATGCGGCGCGGGGAGCATTGCGCTGGAGGTGTGCCTCGCCCCGGACGCGCTCGCCAGGCTCGTCGCCGACCAGGAGTTCATGAGCGCCACCGTGCCGTGATCTCCGGCCGACCGATTTGGACGTGTGCCATGTAATTGATGCTGACCGCATCACCCACATTTGATTTGTTTGATTAGTATAATAAGTCCCTTCGGTTGGGGGTCATACTCATAGCGTGCAGCACGAGTAAGTAGAAAACAAAAGAAGAAGAAAAAGTGCAGGATCCACTAGGATCGGTCGACCGTCGACGTTCATAATGTCCGCCGCCGGGGGCCACCACCTACGCCGCGCTCCGCGTGGACACGGCGTCCACTCCCTGTCGCGCGCCGCTCCGGGGCACGACAGCCACCAGGGTGCTCCGCCGCGCAGTTTTGGCCTTCATCACGCGACTGCAGCACTCCTTACCTCGTCGCCAAGCTGCTTCGGGTCTTTTGGTTGAGTTTCTTCTTTAGCGTAACACCCAATATGCGACTATATACCACGTGTGTCGAGGCAGAATTTAGGGACATAATCGCATATTAAATCGGTCACAAAATTGGTTAAATCTCCACACATATTATTTATTGAACAGATGAGAATACGAGGTAGAGGCTTATACTCGCCACAAGTCTACAACAATATAGTTCAATTATGCATACATCATCCAAAAGAAAACAGGGTCCAACCACGGACGAAAACAAATGATAAAATGAATTAACCAAACCTGCTACAGATCCCAAAACTATCCGACTACGAGCGACTACTGATCGTCCGGAAATGAGAAGTAGAAACGCCAACGCCCCCCATGCGCATAGAACCAAGTTATGCACCTGGGGGCACTACAAAAAAAAGATACATCCATGACATTTTGGGCCGAACGAATTTTTTTCCAGTCATACTTATGACACTTCTATGACGATAATTGTGATAAAACCCGGTATCATCATAGATATGGTGGGCTCCTACTTCTATGACAAAAAATCATGACAGAAAATGGGCTTTTCGTCCTAGGCGGGCCGGAGACGCAGCTGCATGACATTCTTTGGACCATCCATGACGGAAAAAACCGTGGTAGAAACGAGGGCGAGAAAAATATCGGGGTGTTCCCGGTTACGATGGGTGGTCGGGGCCGAGCGATGCGCGTTTCTCTCGTACACGTACGCGCGTGGGTGCGAGGCGTTGGGCTGTAACTGAACCCGAGCGAGGCATTCGCCTATACTAAACCCGAGTGATTGCATTGCAGGCTACGCGTTACTGAACCCGAGCGATCGATTGATGGCTGTTAACTGAACCCGATCGAGCGATTCCTTCGCTACTGCTGCTAACTGAAGCCGGTCGATGCTTCCTCTGGATGAACAGTGAGCGTTGCGGGGGTGGGGGCGTGGGGGGTTAGATGAATAGTTCCCGATGGGGATGGATGAACAGGACCCCGTGGTGTTGCCTCTGGATGAACAGGACCCCGATCGATCGAGCCGGTTGGGGCTGGATGAACAGGACCCCGTGGAGGGCTGGATGAACAGGATGACCCCGTGGAGAGCTGGATGAACAGTAGATGATGGATGGGTGGATGAATGGTAGCCTGTCGAGGGGTGGTTGAACAGGAGCCCGTGGAGAGGGGTGGTTGAACAGGAGCCGGTGGAGTAGCGCGCGGTGGAGGCTGGATGAACATGAGCCCGTGGATGAACAGTCACAGGTGGAGGCTGGAGGAGGTTGACGGTGGATAAACAGTAGCCCGTGGAGGCTGGAGGAGGTCGATGGTGGAGATGAACAGTTTCCCGTGGTGTCCCATTTTGCGGTACGCCACACCCCTCCCGATGAACAAGACCCCCGTTCGACCGCAGCGCTCCAACACAAGTCCGTTTCCTCCGTTTTGCGGTAGCCACACCCCTCCCGATCAACAGGACTCCGTTTCGACAATAGGAGGTCCCACACAAGTCCGTTTCCTCTGTTTTGCGGTACGCCAGACCCCTCCCGATGAACAAGATCCCGTTTCGAACGTGGCCGGTTGAACACAAGGCCGTTTTCTCCGTTCTGTGGTACGCCAGGCCTCGTTTCCATCGCCTGTTCTGTCCAAGCCCTCCCGATGAACACGACGACGCATTCCGTTCTGACCCAGCCGGTTGGCTCCCCATGAACACGACGACGACGCTATTTCTCCGTTCCGACCCAGTCATGTACACGAGCCATGGTCATACGTATGCGTGAGTATGCATTCGAGACCCCGCCCGTATGTACGTACGTGGCCATATTTTCTTTCTTGCACACTAGCCGTTGTACGTACGTGTACATGCTACATGCGCGCCTCTACTACGACACGTGCGCGCCTCTACATCGACCAGTATGTATGTACACGTTCACGACCAGAATAACAATGATAGGTACACTTCGACCAGGTGGGTCCCGACTGTCAGGTACTTCCTTGCGTGCGAAGATGTAGATGGTGGGTCCCAGCAGTCAGGGGGGCGAATTGTTTTTCTTTTTTTTGCCCGAACGCACTTCCTTGCGTGCGAAGATGTAGCTGGTGGGTCCCAGCAGTCAGGGGAAAACATTTTTTTTCGTGAAATACGGTGGCCCGTCCGGTTGGTCCCTGCTGTCAGGTGGAGGAATAATTATTCTGCGCGTAATAAGGAGGCACTTCCGGTGGGTCCGAGCTGACAGCGGGGGGAACATTTTTTCGTGAAATACGGTGGCCGGTTCGGTGGGTCCCAGTAGTTAGGGGGAAACATTTTTTTCGCAAAATACGGTGGCCCGTCCGGTGGGTCCCTGATGTCAGGTGGAGGAATAATTATTTTTTGCGTAATAAGGAGGCACTTCCTTGCGGCTGCCGTGGACCCAGCTGTCAGCCTCTCCACCTACAGTACTCTTTCGATGGAAGTCGGTCGTTGACCATATTGACCGCGCCGCGCCGAGAGCACGACGACGGTGGACGATGGCGAGGCCTAGGAATGGGACGACGCGGAGCCAGGGAAGACACGGCAGTGGATGCCCATGCGGAGAGGAGTACGAGGGTTCACTGGTTTGGCGGCGGTGTGAGGCTGTCGTCGCCGCAGAATAACAGGGGGTGTGGGTGAGTGGAGGGATGGCCTGGCCAGCGGTGGGAGTAGTAGGGGGCGATGAGGCCTCCGTGGCAGCACAGCCGGCCACGAGAGGCAGGAGAAGGCGACACGACCGGCGCTGCTTTGGGCGGCTGGAGTAAGAAGAGCAGAGGTTGAAGAAGCACGACAGTCGTTGGATGGACATCGTACGGTTACTGCAGCTAGTATCGTTTATATTGACTAAGTTGACAAAGCCCTTGGTACACGCCAAATTAGTAGGCCCACAGGCCAGCTTCTGAAACGGTGTGCCCTAGATATCAGGGGGAGGAATCATTTTTTGGGCGGGTGAAGATAGAATATCCGAGATTGAAGAAGAAGGCACTGGTTGAATGGATATCCAACGGCCATTGCTGTTAGAACCGCGTGTTGACTATAAGTTGACAAAGCCTTGCATATGCGTCAACTCTTTTTTTTAGGGGGCGCGTCAACTTAGTAAGGCCACAAGTGTGTGGCAGAGAACTTATAGCCCATTTGAGATTTTTAAGAATGTGTAACCCCTTTTTGAATTCTAATGGAATTTATTACAGCCCATTTACAGTTTGTTTTGATGGGATCCAAAATATTTTTATCCCGAAATTTATATTTAGATTAAATACAATTTCAATATAAATTTATATTACGTAAAAATCCAATGAAACATTGCGCTCGCAAAAATTAATGAAATTAAAATTTTCAATATCCAAAAATAATATTTTATAAAGTAATTACGTGTTTGGTGCATTTTTTATAGTTACTACCCACTTTTTATAATTACGTCCCATTTATTATTTCTCAAACCCCATTTTCTTGTGAAGCCTAATGCATCCCTTCTAGGAAAGATTTGTAGGCCAGCGGGGCGGAGAATAACAACTTGACCTTGCCTGGGTATTCCTAAAAAAAGTATAGCTGGGCTAACCATTTTCAGCTTGAAAAAATAATAATATTTGGGCTGGATATCTGGCCTGGGCTAGACAGGCCACAATCCGCCCAGTTAATACCTGCAGCGATGTTTCATTGTTGTTCAGAGGAGAAAAATTAATATCTGGGCTAAACATCGCTCAATAAAAATTCTGCAGTGCTCACACCTCAAAAACACAAATACTGCTCGAGCTGCTTGGTCCTAGCTGTCGACCGCTTCTTGTGCAATTCTCTCATTTATTAACTACATAGGTTGACAATAGTGTGGGACCGTGATGTCAGGAAACCAGGAGGAAGAAAAAAATTTATAGTTTTATATAATAAGGAGGCACTTGCGTACGTGAGGCTATGGCCCTGGTGGGTCCCCACTGTCATCTTCTCCAAGCAAAGTCATCTCCTCACCCACGCGCGCTTTCCGCCCAACGCCACCCGCCCCGCTTCCCGGTGCAGGCGATTGCTCCGCCTTCAAATGACACAAGTGCCGTCCGTCCGTCTGTCTGCCGCCCACATTAATGATACACGGTTGCCGAGGCGGCTACTCCGGCGCCACAAGTCCGTCCCTCCGCCATCCACCATTGCTATATAAACTGTTGTGCCGGCCATAGCCGCAGTCATCCGCATCCGTTCCCTTTCTCCTGTCGACACCACTACTGTCCACAATGGCTTCCTCATGCTCCAGCGCTCTTTGGGATGGGCGGACGAGGACCACAAGGAGATGGCAGCCATTGCTGCCGACTGGCTGGCTGGCAGGTAGCCGGAGGACGACGACGTCCCAATGGAGAACATGGTAGTCGACGATCTGACGCCAACCCTGTCCTCCGCGCCATCCTTGCCGGTGCATTGCACCATGACCGTCGGCGAGGCCCGTACCCAATATATGGACGCGGTGAGGCAGAAGCATGAGGAGCAGTTCCGGGAGGCGCAGGCCGCCACCGCCTACAACCACTATCTCCTCCAGGAGCA